GGGTGGGAGAAAACTGTTCTGAGAGAGAGCCTGAGAAGAGGAACTGAGGAAATAGCAAGAACAATTCTTAATGTCGTAGATGATTCATGGCTAATAAATTAACAGCAGGTCAAACTCATGATAGCTTAATGTACAAAGAGGTCTGTAATGACAGTAATTGCTTTACTTATCATGGAATAAAAAAGAAACAATTCTCTGTTGTTTATATCCTAGGTGATGCCATCAGGACATTAAGTTTTAGCTCCTGCTTTAATATACTCCTAACTTTCTGAAATCTTTGTTTTCATTCAGGCCAAATTTTTCCATGGCTTTTGTTTGGGTTTTTCTTTTCTTCTTTTTTTTTTTTCCTTCTTTTTTTTTCTTTCTTTTCTTTTGACTGAGAGTTCAGTTTGTTTGAGTTTTTGAAGATTTCAAGCCAAAAGTACTTTTAAGCTCCAGGACAGTGCAAATAAAAAGTCTTTTCCCAAGGTAAGAGAAGAATTTCTGGCATCTTAACATTTTCTGTACCCTTCAAATGGCTTCAGTGGGAAATCAGGATTTGCCATGGAATCAGTCCTTCTTGAGGCATGAAGCTTTCAGCATTCCAGTGAAATTTTGTTTTGATTTGATTTAAAATGCTTTGTGCGCTTTTGCCATACATTGGTCACAGGCTTTTTCTACTCCTTTAAAGCATAAGAGGAAAGGGAGCCCAGGCCAAAACTGCAGTCACGGTCTACACTGGCCTGAGCCATCTGGTGACCAGATATTTACCCACTGGATTGCTATCAAAGATTCGCAGCTCTCCTCCTTTCCAGATAGAGCAAAAGTTGCTTTGGGAAGGCTTATGCTGAGCTGTTTATGCAACTCTGCCCTTGTCTGCTAGTAGCAGACACATCTGTGTTTGCACTGGAGCAGACCATCACATTCCGTTTGCTTCCTGGCTTGCAACAGTTTCTTCTCAAACTTCTCCCTCCCCAAATCCTGACCAAACCTGTCCACTGCAACACTTCTGAAAGGCGACTTTTTTTTTTTTTCTTTTTTCTTTTTTTTCTTCCCTATTTCTTGCTCATTCAAGAGGACAACAAACATCCAGATCTGTTTCTCGTTCATCACTCTCCACACACAAGCTGCATAGTCATATAACTGAAGCCCTCCATGTCTATTAATGCCAGTGACACATACACATTTACACACGTATATTTTGCTGTTTGACCATCCGCAGGCGTTTGAAAGATACTACTTCCACTGAGTATATCCATGCCAAATTCTCCTTTTTACTGATCATATCCCAATTTGTCTTCATTTGCTAGTCATTTTTATTCTCTAGGCAATTTCTGTTTTCTTCTGTTTTTACTCTGTTTTCATTCTTACATTTTCCCTCATCCTGCGAGCACCAAAATGCCTTATTTTTCTTTTACTAGGCAGTATGAATGATATCTGTAATCTTTCTTTGTTTTCTCTCTTCCACTGGTACAATTTCGTAATGTATTCACTACTTAAACCTACAGTCTGTAATTCCTTCAGGAGCTTTGCCAGCATGCAGCCTGCAAGGGAAGCCTCTCGATGTTACTTGGAGCTACCTGTAGCTACCAGCATCCATCCTCAACATGGTCTTCTTCACATTTTGCAGGTACACTAAGCCCAGTGTCGGTGTGAGTCTTTCATTACCTAAATTCAGTTCAGTTATGCTGATGTACAATTGGTCCTTGCCTGAAATGCTGAGAGCTCCTGCAAAAGGCCTTTCTGGTGCACAGATGAGTTTTAGCCACGGCAAAACATTTTGCCTAAGGAGGGTGTTTATTGGCAACAGCTTTCACCTGAGAGCTGTAAGAAATACTGGCCTGTGCTGCTAAGTGCCCCGAAGGCTTGAGTTGTGGTGAACCTGACTCAGTACCGTACGACAAACAAGGAAAAAGGGTGGTGGACCAAAGTCTGGCTTCATGTAACACGACTTAACTGTTCTAGGTTTCATGTTGACTAAGGAGGAAGCTGAATGTGAAGGGCAGATCCCACATTACTGACTTGGCTGAATATGGTGAACAAGATTTAGAATCTTTTACCTTGTGTAACTCCTATAAGTCAAGAGTTACATCAGAAGTTAATGAGTCTTCTATTCTCTCTTTCTGTGAGCATTCTTAAAGGTACACACTTGGTGACTTAAGAAATTGAGACAGCCTTTGGTTTTACAAGGCCCTTAGTTTAGTCTTTCTCAGATTCTTCATGTGAGGATGGGGAGAACAGTGCCTGCCCAGAGAGGGCCCAGCTAATACTTAGCTACTGAAACCTGTTGTGATTTACACAGTCTTATCACATCCTCCAGGATTAGAGACTTCATGCTTTTCAAGAGAGAGAAAAAAGATTTTTTCAGGCTTGCAGTCTTCATCAGTTCAGTGTTACTGGGTCATACGTGTGTTGAGTAATTTCCTTTCACTCAGCAAAAGATAGCTACATTCAGAAATACAGGATACAGCAAATGCAGGAAGAAGAAATTGTCCAGTATAGTTTGTGTGTTATCAGGAAGCAAAAACAAAGAAATGTGTTCACTGCATTATAGCTGCTAAACTAGGATGGAACTTCATATGGTTTCTAATGGGGCACTGCTAGAAATACATAAGTTCCTTATCATACAGATACATGCTGAGTGCAGCTCGTGAAAATATGTTTGAAGAGCCAAGCGTGTGAATGAGTGCCCACTGGATTAGAATCTATTACTTTACATGGGATTCCCCATCCCTGAAGGCATTCAAGGCCAGGCTGGATGTGGCTCTGGGCAGCCTGGTCTGGTGGCTGGCGACCCTGCATAAAGCAGGGGGTTGAAACAGGATGATCATTATGGTCCTTTTCAACCCCGGCCATTCTATGATTCTATGATGATTCTATGATTACACTCATGAGTTACAATGTGAGCATTTTATCACAGCAGACACGTTTAAGCCATAACTGTTTTTAAAATTAGCACTTATTTTCTGTTTTGCTCCCCTTGATGTTTTCAAAGCAGGGCTCACGGTTTTCTAGACAGCTCGTTGAAGCTCTTCCCACACAAATTCTGTGGCATTTTGAGACAGACATACATTTTTAGTCTACCTTACTCATGAGAAAAGCTCAATCTGATGGAGGTGTTAAAAATATACTCTGTTTGCATGCAGCTGAGCACACACACGGCAGCTTCCCTCATGAGGAACACTGGAGGAGGTACTGTGCTATACTGCTATTGTGGGAAAATCATTTACAGTGTGTGAGTTCAGGCCTTCCCAGTGCCCAGCTCTCCTATCTGAGAAGATGTCAAGCCAAGGGGATGGTGCTCCTCTCTGAGTGTTGTTTTGGAGCTGGGTCACTGAAAAAAGCAATGCAAAATGCATTGGGCAAGTGACTGCTTGCCTTGACTACTGCATTCATTTTCAGGCCCCTCACTACAAGAAAGACATCAAGGGCACTGGAGCATGTGCAGAGAAGGGCAGTGAAGCTGTGGAGAGTCAGGAGCACAGGTATTACAGGGAGTGGCTGAGGGAGCTGGGATCATTCAGTTTGGAGAAGAGAAGGCTCAAGGGAGAGCTTATCGCTCTCTACAACTCTGTGAATAGAGGTTGTGGCGAGGTGGGGGTCAGCATCTTCTCCCACATAAGTTGTGATAGGATGAGAAGGAATGACCTCAAGTTGTGCCAGGGGAGGTTCAGGCTGGATATTAGAAATGTCTTCTCAGAATGAGCGGTGATGCAGCAGCACAGGCTGCCCAGGGGCGTGTTGCAGTCACCATCCCTGGAAGCGTACAAGAACCATGTGGATCTGGCACTGAAATGAATTTGTGGGTGCTATTGGTGGTAGGTGGATAGTCAAACAAGATGATCTTAGAAGTCTTTTCCAGTCTTAATGATTCTAACTGCTGACATGCAATGAAGAGTTGGGCCTGCACTCTGCTGGGTACCTAAATGCACCATGGCAAGTTCTGCATCATTCCGTGGGTATTTTTACCCTGTTTAATATCACGGCTGCAAGGAGCACTTCTTTCTTTAAGCAAGCAGTGAATATCCATGGTGGAACAGCTGACACGTCCATGTGCTTGGCCATGGACTCCTTGTTTCTCAGCCACAGCTGTGGAAGCAACACGTAGTACTAGCGATTGAAGCACCCTCGCTGCCCCAGCCCCGTGGGGAACGTCCCCGTGGGCAGCAGCACGGCTCAGGGCCACCTGCACGACGCGCCGCTAACGCAGCCCTGCCCGTAACCGCCGTTCCGCACGCGCCCTCCCCGCCCTCCGCGCGCCGCCGCCCCAAGCCCCGCCCATCTCCTTCCCTAGCCCCGCGGGCACGGCGCGCGCGCGCCCCCACCGACCGTTGGGCGGCGGACAAGGAACACCGCCCCCGCCTCTCGCGCGCATACCTTCCGCCTCCTTCCTCCCGCGCGTGCGTGCTTGCGCATCCGTGGCGGGCGCCCCCCCCTCCCTCCCCGTTCAAACAGGAAAGGCGGACATGTTGGTGCCGTTCGCGGCTTCCCTCGCAGCCGGACCTCGCGCTCTGCCCTCCCCTTGAGCCACCTCCTTCCTTCCTGCCTCTCACGCCGATCGGTCCCGGGGCGGCCCGGGCTGCGGCAGGTTGAGGAGCGGCGGCGAGCGGCGAAGAAGAAGAGGAAGGAAGATGCCGTTATCGCCTCTCCGCCGCTGAAGCGCTCCCGCGGGGCGCTGCTGGCACGGCCCGGGAGAGGGGCGGCGTGCCCCGCGCTACCTGCGCCCATGGACGGAGCGAGCCCGAGGCACTGAGGCGCGGCGCCGGGAGGGCTGTCCTGCCTTGCGGGTCGTTTTGCTTCGCGCTGCGCCTCTCTGATCTTCCTTTCCTCGTCTCGTCGTCGCTCCTACGCGCTTCCCGGACCCGGCCGCTGCTGCGGGGCGAGAAGGAGGAACCGCTACGCTGCTGCCAGCGCGGCTGCCCGGCCGCGGGAATGAGGCCGCTGCGGCGCGGGGGCCCGCGCGAAGGCGGGAGGGCGCGGAGAGCCGCGGCGGGGCTGTGAGCGGCGGGAGCGCCCGCGGCACTTTGCTCCCTCGGTGCGGCGCGGGGACTCGCCCGGAGACCGCCGTGATTGAAGGGACTGCGCAGGAAGCGCTTCGCAGCCCCGCGTAGGCTCTGCGGTTTCTCTTGTGCGTGCTTGTTCCTGTTTTTGTTGCTTTGGTTTTTTTTTTTTTTTTCCTTTTTTATTTTTTTTTTTATTTTTTCTTTTTTTTTTTTTTTTTTAACATTTGATCTGGAATAAGGGAAGCTTTTTAATCGTCGGAAACATGTCGACGGGAGAAAGTTTTGAGTCTCGGTTTGAAAAAATCGACGGGACTTTAAAGGATCCCAAATCCGAAGTGAACGTGGACTGTTTGCTGGTAAGTGAGGGGTGACGATGGGCCCTGGGGCCTTCTCCCTTTTTCCCTTCCAGGTGGCATCGCATCGTGCCTGCCTGATTCATGGTCCTGTGCCCGCCCTGAGTGGAGGCAGACAGCTTTGGTGTGATCTGCTGATCGCTGAGCGAGGTGCTATGAGGTGCTGGCACAGCTGCCCATGTAAGCTGTGGTGCCCCATCCCTGCAGGTGCTCGAGGCCAGGTTGGATGGGGCCGTGGGCAGCTGAGCTGCTGGGTGGCAGCCCTGCCCGTGGCACTGCTTAGTACTTTACTACAGCGTGACTTCTCCCTCTTGACATTTTGCTGAGAAAAATGCTGTGAATAACGTAGCTGAAGGATTAAGGTGCCCTTGCAGGTGGGGCAGTACTCACAGTAGAGGGGCTAAGTGCATGCTGAACTATTTGCTGTGCTAGGTCTGAGGTTCACAGCTGCCTGCTACTTGTTTTCCTGTTTCCCACAGCTGATGGCTCTGGTGCTTTCAGTGTAAGTGCATCATGAGCAAGCAAGCGTAACACATTCTGACATAAACTTAATGCTGTTTGGCAGTTGCTTGCACAAAAGTGGATGATGCTTCAGTTCTGGCTATAAAAAGTATCAAAACATGTGCCAAATCCAGCCAGTTTGGGATGTGGATGGATTCTTGGATATGCCTAAAGATATCCTCAAGTGGCGTGGGTTTCCCTTTTGTGCCAAGCTAGTGAATTTCTCTCTAGGAAGTGATAAAAGTTCGGAAGTGTGTAGGTGGGTCCCCATCTCCCCCTTCTCCTATCTCAAAGAGAACGACTCAATGGGGTTTGTTCCTAGCGTGAACTCTGACATTTGGGGGAGGGGATTGGAGGAGGGGATAGTTCTTAGTAGCCATTCTTCATCCTCTGTAGCATGGGTTTTAGCATGGAGCTTGCTTGAGCATAAAGCAGTGGAGAGATGAAAATCTCGTGAAAGACTGTGCACAGGTTCATGGCAACATGCTCTCTGTTCAGCTGATTGGTGATGCTGAGGTGCTGACAGGTCAGACCTGCCTCCCTGGACCAAACCAGGACCTTGTAGATGCTGTTGCCACAAAGGAAAACAGTACTGCATCTTCCAGGCAGCTTAGTGCTTTGGTTCTAGTTCACATATCTTTAATCTCTGAACCACAGCTGATGAGAACAGAGATGATGCTTAGGATATTGCTTACTCCGTTGTGATGACTTAAGCCAGCACTGTCAAATCCTATGTTTTTACACCCGGCATCTACTGATAGAAGTCAAGGGTACACAACTGTGTCTGGAGTTGGACAGTAACTGTGGCTCAGTCTGCTAGCGTTTGTGTTGGTCCTGCTATGGAGGTTTTCCCACAGTAGCACTAAAGAGGCTGCAGAAAGCAAACGTGCAGTTGATGTAGTTTTTAACTGTATTCCTTAATCTCAGCAGTTTAAGGATTTAGTTGCTTTTTAGTTACATCAGTCACTATTTGGAGCTGAGCTGTAGACAAGTTGGGAATGAACTCGTTGAGATGCTTCTTGTCATGCTTCTGTTGGGTTTTGAACTCGTGTTTGCCTCTCTGGTCTTAAGAATGACCTTTAAAGTTAGGTTTTTTTAATCAGCTTTCTGAAGTTTTTGGCATATATTTGAGTATTCTTTTAAAAGCAGCTTCATATGTTATAATCATCAGTATTATTACTATTGTTAGCCCTCATTACGGATAATGCTGTCTTACAATAATGCCGATTTTAAAAAGTGCTTCTGAAGAAATCGTCTGGTGGATTAGCTTTGTGTTTGGTTACTGTATCGCTCTTTTTTAAAATCTTTCCTCAGTTCTGAGGCTTTTTTTCTGCAGAATTGAAGTGTGTAGCCCTTTCTTAAATAGTCAAAGTACTTTACACCTCTTCTACACCTCTTCAGTGCGAATCGCAAGCGTTGTTCTTAGCTCTAGGCTTATATTTAAATTCATAATCTATATGGTTATTTTTTAAAGGAAGAAAAGCTTAGGTGTATTTGGTCTGCACCTCAGGTACTTCTGTGAGATGAGCCCATTTCCTTAGGCTAGACAAACTTGTACCAGCTCTCTAGACCTGGTATGTAAATAAAAATATTGTTTTTTATGATGAGACTTGACACAAAAGAAGTTTATCCATTTTTATGATAATTGTTATATCTTAAAAACCTTTATTTCTTTCGAAAAAAGACGTAAATTGGTGTCGTGTAGTGTTTTCACATTTTCTCATCAATGGTGTTAGCTAACTCTTGGTCATTTTTTGCATCTATATGCTTTAAATTCAGCTTCCAGTATTCGAGATATGTGGGCTTAAAAATGCTGGAGTTTCTTTAGTTTGAAGGAACTTATGTTGCCCTTCTTAGTCCCTGATAAGCCTGCAGTTCTTGTACAGATATGGAGTAACCTGAACAGCAGTTTTGTGATCTTTTTTTGTGAGTCTATGTGAATGTCCCAAGGTAGTTTCTGTGTGCTGAAAGTATCCTAAATTTATATGTGTACTAGTGAGAGAACAATAATGTGGCTGGAGGAAGAGGTGGAGGAAGGCCTGATACAAAGGAAGGTGTGTTATGGGTTCAGGAAGGTGTGGGAGAAGAGTTGTGACAACAGAGCTGGCAGAAAAGGCAGACTGGGGACTATGGAACTTCAATTTACATAACACAGGAAGGAAATTCAGAAAGCTGAGGAATAGGAAGGAGAAGAGAATAAGAGAAAATGGAGAAAAATAAGCAATTGTAATAAAAGCAGAGTTTAAAAAAAAAAAAACAAAACAAACTGGCTCCAAGTTGCAACTGTCCGTAACTAAATTTGCATCTTCCCACGTACTTGATTTAGGACTGGGCTGGGAAAGCACAGGCAGGGTCTTTTTCAGTGAACCATGAGGAGGTCAGAACCTGCATTCTTTGTCAAGTATGTGCTACAGCATCGTGTAGGGCTTTTCTCCAAATCAGGCCCTAGGATTTTTAGTCTTGAGAAGATCTGGTAAGGTTGTGAAGTAGTCACACAAGGGCGTGTGATAACCAGTACTGCGAGCACCACAGCTGTGATAAATAGAGCTAAGGGCATTGTAAGTAACTATTTTTTATCTTGAGCTCTTTTTTCCATTAATGTTATTAAGCAGTAAAATGTAGTATTCGCTGAGCATGGTTTTCCAACAACTTTGGAATAAAACCAGGTTTCTTTCATCTCTGTGTTCCCAATTAAATCCTTGGAGTTCACGTGCTTCCAGTTTTTGGAGAGCAGGGAGGGAGAGCTGTAACTTTGTGTATGGATGGAGGGCTTGCTGACCTGAGGCTGCCTGTGCTTGTGATTGATTTGAAAAGTAAGTGTTCATGAAAATGCTCTTTGGGGCTGTCTTCGCTCTGATGATAACTTTCAGAGTCTTTCTACGTTTTATGTGAATGCTGGAGTATTGAATATTCAGTCACCTACTTGAGTGGGTGATGAAGACTTTTGATGATCTCAGTCTTAAAAACATCGAGTCTATCAGCTGTTTTCAGCAGGTTGGATTTGGATTAACTGGTAACGGTGAAAACTGTATGACAGAGTTGGTTTATTTAGTCTTAAGAGCTTTCCATTTTTGTTATACCCAAAATACACAAGTGTGGACCTTTTCCTGTGTCTAACTAACACTTGGCCAGGTGAAGTCATATTCATCTGCCCTATGTAGGGATTTGGAGTTTTAAATCTCTGTTGTCACTGGAGCTTCCTTTTTTCTCCATTGCTTAAAGATTGTTAGAAAGCCCTTCTGGAGATGTTGTATAGAGATTTGTTAGAAAAAAAACATGAAAAAAAGAATGCAAGTCAATGTACCTTTACTTCAGGAGGTCTTAGCTTTTAAAAAAAACCTCTTGAAAATTATTTCTGAAACCATGCTTTTAGAATCTGAGTGGTAAAATGCTGAGAAGCTTTCTCTGTTGCTGACAAAGCTCCTGCACAGAAGAAGCAGGATTTGGACCTTTTCAGATCATCAACTCCAGAGCGCTGTAAGTCGTCTGCAGGTAGTTCAGGGTGAGGTGAAATGTCAGCACTGACAAAACCTCCTAGGGTGTGTCTCTACAGCTGTTTTGATCTGGAGGATTTATTGTTCACTAGGATCTAAAATGAGACTCCTGGCTGACGTAGAATTCTGAGTCTACAAGATGTCCAAGCTTTCTGACTATAACTATGATTGTGGGTTAATACTGCCTTCTTACCTCTATGAATTATGAACACAGGTTGATATGAAATCAATGATTAATATATTTTACCTTGTTAAGGTAGAGTGCAACTGTAAAGTTGGCTTTGGAAAAACAGTAACTTGGTGGATTTGCGTTTCAGGTTGCACTTCAGGAGTTGTCTTACTGTTATGCAAACCTCCAGAGAGTAACAGTAAAAGCAGCGGGACTGTCAAAATGTTAGCATTTTGTTCACAGCGTATGGTACCTTTTACATAAGGATCATTAACTTAGCCAGCTTCTCTGTTTATAAAACTATAAAGACTGTGGACATGTAGTTTTTTCCTATTAATAATTTTAATCAAGAATGATAATGGAAGGGTGATGTTAAGATGTGTTTCAGCAAGAGGAATAGGAAAGAAAAGCCACCCCTAAACTTTTAGTAGAGTGTAAATGCTCTTCTGGAGTAACAACTTCTGTAAATAAAATTCTTTCCCTGGCAGCTGTGGAGTATTTTCATTTCTTGGAGGTGGTGGGAAAGAGGATGGGAGCTCATGGAATTTGTTCATTGGACGAACTGAAAATCAACCAGCAGGTCTGGAAGTCTTTGACTTCTTTGGGGAAGATGATAGGCTTGGGAGCCACTCACTGAGAATGTAATAAATCTTTAGAAGCTCTACGACCAGGTGATACTGGTAGTCTCATAGTGGCTGTTACCACATTCCCTAGGATGTACTTCAACACTATCTGAAAACAAAGTGGCTGCTTGTAGGTCTCTCACTGAGGAATACTGAGATACTGCACTACTCAGTGCAGGATGCTTCTCCTGAATTTGAGGGGTTCCAAAACATGTA